TTTAGCTGTTACTGTACATACTCCAACCATTCTTTTTTATATTCCTTTTTGTATGCTGAGTCATTTGCATATAAAAATTAAAACACTTGGAGTGTCATTTACCAGAATCATCCAACTGAATATTCCCAGGCTGTCCCATCCGTGAGATCACGCTGTTTGTTTAATGGATTATAGGGATAAGTTTTAAACACAGTCACTCCAAAAGCTCCTCTCACCATGCTTGATATCTGATTTATGTTGTTGGGGTTTTCAATGTTAATTAAGAAGTGCCTGGAGTAGTGTTAGAGAAAATATAGGACGGAAAATCAAGTCCCTGTTGTTATTGGGTTGCAGGTTGATTTCAAAGCAACACAGATCAGGGATAGATAAAACAGGGTTCCTCCTGCTAGGGTGGTATAAGAATTTAATATTCATTTTTAATAAGGTAAACTAGAGAGAAGGCAATGTCTGTGCTGGGGATCTCCCTTCTCATATAGGGGTTTGCTTTGATTGAAGAGGAAAGCGAGTCCCATTACCCTGATGCAGTACCGTTGACTATGCAGCACAGTTATCACTCCCCAAACACAATGATTTTTGTTCACTTCATTTAAAACTTCTCCTTATCTTCCCATTTTCAGGCTCTGGGCTGGGTAGGGTAAGGTCAGGTCTCATTTTGTTATGTGACCTCCACCCATGTAAGGAAATTCTTTGCCTTCAACATCAGCTCTATTGTTTCCGGCACGGCCGTGGCAGCTTACGAAGCATTTGTCAAGGTTTTTCATGCTCAGCAAAGGCAAAAGCAGCTCAGGTGAACTGTTGAGTTGTATCAGCTCATGAAAGGAAGGATGTTTTCACATGAATACTTGATTTGATCCATGGTGATTGTCTTACTGGAAGAATGGGGTTCCAGAGAGGGTTAGGGAGTTCAAAAACATACACAAACCTAAATGCCTGTGTTTGAATATATAAAATATATTGAATATAGAAATATATATATATTTCTATGCAGTCATAGAATCCAGACTGATTTGGATGGAAGGGACCTTAAAGCTCCTCCAGCTCCAACCCCTGCCCCGGGCAGGGACACCTTCCACTGGAGCAGGTTGCTCCAAGCCCCTGTGTCCAACCTGCCCTTGAACACTGCCAGGGATGGGGCAGCCACAGCTTCTCTGGGCACCCTGTGCCAGCGCCTCAGCACCCTCCCAGGGTGAATTTGAATTAATGTATAGGGTTTCTTATGAAAATACACTTTAATTTGCTTGTGTATCCGTTGCTTTTGTTACATTTCAGTTTCAGTTCTTTGCAGTCCTGATTTCATCCGTTATCCTCTAAAGCTTGGACTCAGGTGGGGAAGGATTTTTGCATCTTTAGCACAACAATTCCATTGCAAAGACCTTATTTCTTAAAAATCATTGACTTTTGTCTACCCTTGGAAGTTGTAACTCTGTGGTGCTTCATATTGTCTTGGTTCTGATGTCAGATCTGGCTTTTAATAAAGAAGAAAACCTTGATTTCCTTTCGAGGTTGAAAAATAGACAGGTTTTCAGTCTGATTGTAACACAGTAAATGATTTACTAATCTTCAGGGATTCAGAAAGAGAACAAAAGCCATTGTAGGGGAATAATATGTGCTGGGCTTCTTAAAATACCACTTCTTCCAGTTCCCCTTTCAAGTTGTTTGATCAAAAACCTGAAAAGACTTTTTATTTCCAACCTGAATGATGACGTTCCGAGGTTTGGGTCAGGGTGTTTGTAAGTGAGTAAGATTCAGGTTATGAAATCCCAGATGAACGTCTTTATATCATACAGTTCAGCAAGTCAAATCTTTTGTTTTAATAGTAACGTGCAGCTTCATACAATAATCACCATTTATAGAAGGAATAACCACATTACACTGAAAGCAATTCGTGAGCAGGCAGCTCTCTAACCCTGTAACTGATGGCATGTCACATTTGCTGTGCAATGAGTGTTGGAGCTGCACGTGTAGCCCTGGCTTCTCCTGGCTCAGAAACATGCCTGTGTTGTATCATGCTGCCTTTGCTAACTTCCAATCTGGCAGCTCTTAACAGTAATTAAGAACTTCATCATATTGAAACCACTTTTAATTAATGAAAGGAGAAAGGCTGTAACGTGCTTTCCACACGCTGACAGATTGGTGGGAGTCCTGGTGTTCTGCCACACTTTGCTTTGATGTTCCTTCTTATATAGCTAAAGGGGCTGCAAGAAACCTGGAGAGGGGCTTTGGACAAGGGCCTGTGGGGACAGGACAAGGGGAATGGCTTGAACCTGCCAGAGGGGAGACTGAGATGAGCTCTGAGGCAGAAGCTCTTCCCTGGGAGGGTGCTGAGGCGCTGGCACAGGGTGCCCAGAGAAGCTGTGGCTGCCCCATCCCTGGCAGTGTTCAAGGGCAGGTTGGACACAGGGGCTTGGAGCAACCTGCTCTAGTGGAAGGTGTCCCTGCCCGGGGCAGGGGTTGGAGCCGGAGGAGCTTTAGGGTCCCTTCAACCCAAACACCAGTCCATGATTCTCTCTGAGTCCCACCACAGAAGTACCAACTTCTCTCTGCTGACTCTAGAAGGAACCAAGTGACAAACTCCAGTGTAGACGTCAGGACTGGAGAATCTCAAGTTAAATGACGTGAACCCTCCTGCTGGGTTTAACATAAAAGGACCATATGGGCTTGATACGAAGGTGGGGGCGAGCTCTGAAATGCTGCTTTATAGCACACTGGAACTTAAAAATCACAGCTGCTTTGCAAAACAGCATTTAGATTTGCTCTGCCAAGCTTCAGCTATTTATTTACATGTATTAGCGCGACTCGAGCCTGGTGTTTGGGCTGGAAAGCTTCAGGAACAGATATGCTCAATCATACAATCTCCTAATTCTGGGTTTGGGGAAAGCACAACCAATCTTGGCAATTTCACCATAAAACCATAGAATCCCAGACTGGTTTCTGTTGGAAGGGCACTTAAAGTTCTTTCAGCTCCAACCTCCTGCCGCAGACAGGGACACTTTCCACTAGAGCAGGTTGCTCACAAACCATTCTATGATTCTATGAAGCTGCAGATATGTATTTTTATGGATTTTTATGGAATTTCCTGGCATTTTTATCAGTTGAACATCCCAGCTGGAAGCTCATAGTACACTATTCTTTTTTAAGATATGCAGCTTAACAGAGCATTTGATGGAGCTGCCATCACTTGGAACACCCTGGAGACGTGAACCTATAGCTCTTTCCCACCATACAGTGTTTCTCCCTTCCCTTCATGGAGCTTTTCCATGGCTGGGGGCCTCATGGAGCTGCCCTGGCTGCTGACCCCTCGAGCTGGGCTTGGGTACGGGTCGCTGGTGGCACGGCTGAGTGAGCTGCTGACACTGGGGGGCTTGGAGGGAATTCCCATGTTTGCTGCAGGTTTGGCACTGCAGCCTGGCTGTCTGTCTCCTAACGGCTGGAATTTTTGTAGCAGCATGTTTCAGGCAGGTTTAATGTCGAAGATTGAAGGGGAAAAAAACAGCCTTTGGTAGGAAGGACTTTACACTTGGGAGGTGGAGGATGGGGAAAATTGTATAGGATCAAGTGGATTTTGGATATAAAACTTTGGATGCAGGAATTCCAATCACTCAATTTTACTGTTTTCTTCTAAGCATCCTTTATTGAGGATGACTGTGTGTTAATTAATGTAATCAGGTAATTGCTCTGGCTCTGTGCTGATGGGGGGGAACTTCTATTGCAGAAGGAAAATCTCTTCTGTCCCTCATTAGTTCATAACGGTCAGTTAGTTCTCTTCATCAGGTACTGGAGTGACAGGACAAGGGGTGATGGGTTCAAACTGGAACAGGGGAAGTTCAGGTTGGATCTAAGGCAGAAGCTCTTCCCTGTGAGGGTGCTGAGGCGCTGGCACAGGGTGCCCAGAGAAGCTGTGGCTGCCCCATCCCTGGCAGTGTTCAAGGGCAGGTTGGACACAGGGGCTTGGAGCAACCTGCTCTAGTGGAAGGTGTCCCTGCCCGGGGCAGGGGTTGGAACTGGAGGAGCTTTAAGGTCCCTTCAACCCAAACCAGTCTGTGATTCTGTGATTTGTGTCTGATTCATATGTGTCTGTTAGCCTGGGCTTTAACATTGGGCTTGATTTTGCTGAAGGCTTCCACAATTTCACCATTCCCTCCCCCACCCCTGATTTTTCAGAATGGTTTAAAATAACCAGATCAATGTTATATAGAAATGCATTTTGACTCTGTTGAAAGCTGGTGTACTCTGTTTCACTGACTATACCATTTAAATGGATAGCTTTTAAACATGGCATCATTAAAAATCTGTGGAATATGTGAATATATCCAGAGTTGAACATTTAAATGAAATTTGCAGTCCCTTGCAGTTGTACATGTTTAAGACAGAACTTTCCTTAAACCTATGTGTAACCCAGGCCCTGCGATGTGATTTTCCAGCTCTGGTCACAACAGGGCTTTTGAGCTTGAACTTTGATATAACTGTTCAATTTATGATAACTTTTTGTTACGTATTTGGGAGTTCTGTGTACAGAAGAGTTACTTTGTGCTGATGTGAAATGGCAGCTGTTGATCAGTGGGTTTTAATAGCAAATAACTGTATTTGAAGGATACAGATGTTGGGGGTCTTGGGGATGTCATTTGGACTGCAACAGTGGTTGGAGAAGAAGCCCCATGTGTATCCTTGCAGTTTGTAGGTGCCTTCCTTGACATAAATCACATCTCCTCTTCTCCAAACCTGACCTCACTGTTCTGCTATGGCTGTATTACACAACTGGATGGAAATCATTTAATAGGTGATATTACAGGGCTCTGTGGTGCCATCTAATGGAACTAAAGCACTGTCTTCCTCCTTGTCAAAAATGAGTGACACCCACCAGACACTATCCAGGGCTAATAATTATAGGTGCATGTGTTAAAAATAGTTGTATGAGCATCTTAAAACTCTAAATATGAATCCTAATAAATCACATACAAAAGCACTTTTCTTAATTCTCTTGAATTCTTCCCCTCCTGTAGGCTCTCGATGGAAATGTATACGATCACCTAAAGGATTATTTAATGGCATTCAGCAGG